CAGCAGCTGGAGCCACAGCCCCCACAGCCTCCGGAACAGCCACAGCAGCCCATGATTCTGGCGGGTTGAGGGTGGAGTCGGTCAGAGGAGAAGGTTGAGAGAGGAAGGTGTTCAGGTGTGGAGCCTCCTGCCTCAGGAGCCCTTATATACCTGTCCAGGAGTCAGGTGTGATATGGACACATGGTCCCTTCCTCATGTCTACTGATGCCCTTTCCCCAGGAAAGTTGTGTGTCATTTAAAAATAACAAAAACATTCCTTTACACTGTGACACATCTCCTTACTTATCGCTTTCCCTTCTAAACCTTCAGGTTCAATGCCTCTCCACTCAGATGAACCCTTCTGCAGAGAGGAGGGCTAGATCTGTTCCTGCCAAGTCCAGACCTTCGCCTCTCTGCACAGGGAATCCCCGGGCATCCATTCCTCCTGCTTCGCTGAGACCCTAGAAAACCCCAGATCCTGGAGGGGCTTCCAGCCCCAGTGTTCTCCGGAATGCACAGCTTCCTTCAGGTGACGGTCCATGCAGGGGTCTACATTCTTCTCCCGTCAGCCCCTCATCAACTCTTCTCTGATGCCGAGTTCCCTTCATAAGAAATCCTTGAAAGTGCTTAACAGCATCTCTCCTCAGTCTGATGATCGTACTATTCACCACCTGTTACTTATGAAAGAACTTCAGATTTCACACCAGTAAATTCTGGCTTTAACTCCTGCTCCCACTGACAACTGGTGTTAGCTGTGTGTCTATTTTTAAATTGTTCTGTAAATTCGTAATGTTCAAAAAGATTTATCATGGAAAAATATCGGAAAATGCAACAAGCTCAAAAAGAAATAGACCGTCTACAGCATCCCGCCATCTCTGAGCAAGCTCTTTCTTCTTTTCAGCATCGGATCCTCCCAAGGTTGGGAATTTGATTCATTCACTGTCAGGGACCCTCGTCTTAGCTCCGTCCTGCTGGGGTTGGAAGGAATGTTTCCTGCAGGTGAGGGGTCCTGCTGTCTTCCTGGAGATGTTGTTGTCATTTGTCTCCATTGAGCCAGCTCCAAGTCATGGTGACCCGTGAACAACACGAGACGTTACCTGGTGCTGTTTTCTTCTAAATGTTTTATAGTTTTCTTTTCCAGTTATATCCATGACACACTCTGAGTTCATACTTAATAAATGTGAGGTTAAGATCCAGGTGCCTTTTGGGTTGTTTTTGCCTGCAACAAATTTTACCCGGTCGTCCTACCACCATTTGTTGGAAAGACTCTTTCTGACCCTGGGTTGCGTTTACACTTTGACTGTCCCTGGGCGGGACTCTCTGTGCTGTCTGTCCTGCTCCTTTGACCTATGTGTCTTTCCTGTAACCAACACCACATGATTCCTGTGCATTACAGAAAGTCTGAAAGTCACGTTGTGTTAAAAAGTCTTGAAACCAGCACCCAAAACAACAATGTGTGGGTCACTATGGGGCAGGACTGCTGTTTTTACTACCTTGAGTTTTGCAAACCACGAACCTGGTTTGGCTCGCCATTTACCCTTGTTTCTTTCTTTAGTATACTTTCTCTCTCAGTGTTCTGGTTCCCTAGTGCTGCTCTGACTAGAATATACCACAAATGGGATGGCCTTAACGAACAAAAGTTTATTCTCTTACAGTTTGGAGGCTTTAAGTCCAAGCTCAAAGTGCCAGGCTCTAGGGGCTGGGTGAAAGGCCC